AGTTGAAAGCTTTAATAACTAACTGTTATGTTGCACAAAAACAAGCGCAAATCATGTGAGTTACAATTATTACAAAAGCAGCAGCAATGCGTCAAAAATAACGTACTTATTTTTATTTTATTTAAAAAAACTCGCAGTTAAATAAATTAAATAGTTATGTGATATTTTAATTATACATACATATACATATTTGCATATGATTAATGTACTCTTAGTTTTGTACAATTTTCGTATAGCAAAAAAAAAAAAAAACAAATATAAAATCGGCGCCTCACTTCGCAAATTTAATTGTCTACGTTTCAGTTTTCATCAAGCTTTTTTAATAATTCATCTGCATTGTCGATCTATTTTATATTTTTGCAAATTATTAGTTATCTGCGTTTGTCTATAGCACAAAATAAAATGAAATGCGTGGTCACGAAAAAATCCAGTCTAACACTTGAATATAATTTAATTAGTTTGTGCTAAACCCATTATGAAAAAAGCAAATATGTATGCAGCGCGCTGGCTGCAATGCGCCACAAAAATGCAAAAACTTTGGGCAGAAAATTACTTGCGCACAAAAAGTGTAAACAAATTTTAATGAAATGCGCAAAAATTTGCTGTTGAAATATTATATACTTTTTAAACATAACTTTAAAAGATACACAAGGCATTTGGATATTATGTACAAGGTAAATACTTGATTTTTTATTGAAAGAATAGAATTTAATATCACAGGCGGAGGGTTTTAGTAACGCGTTTAGTTTATTCCCTTTCGTCGTAACTTACTCGTACATTCGTAATATAAAGAAGCTGCACTTCCCATTCCATTCCGTTACCTGTTTACCGCACAATAACTTATTAGAATGACTCAGAGCTTTAATGGATCCATTCGAATATGGTATGGTGAATAAGTTAGCCAGTTTATTTAATTTATTTTTTTATTTTGTTTTTAATTGTTGTTACCTTTTATTGAATATTTTATTTCATTTTGTTTTTATTTTGTTGCAGTTAATTTAATTTAATTTTAGTTTGTTTTATTCTATTTTATTTTATTTTATTTTATTTTATTTTATTTTATTTTATTTTATTTTATTTTATTTTATTTTATTTTATTTTATTTTATTTTATTTTATTTTATTTTATTTTATTTTATTTTATTTTATTTTATTTTATTTTATTTTATTTTATTTTATTTTATTTTATTTTATTTTATTTTATTTTATTTTATTTTA